AAATAAAATTCAATACAACAAAATGGCGTTTCCCCTAAATGCTGATCTCTTTGGTAGAGCCACAATGATTAGGGAAAACATTTTTAAGAAGTGTTAATCGTTGTTGTTTTTAATGATCCTAGGTTTAATGGTGCATTTAAATGATTTGAAGTCAATATCGATGAAGCGGAATTACACAGAAGACAAACTCAGGTAAGTTGTAGTTTGGAAGTTTTTTTTATTATTTTTGGGGGAGAAAAATATTTCTATTTTAAAAATGTTATTTGAAATGCAATAAACATTTTAAATTTAAATCGCGTTTTACGTTTCAGTAGAGAACAAACCTCCCTCGCTGTTTCTTATTTCCAGCAATAGATTGAGATTGAGGTTTTGAAGATAAGTTTGCACTGATGTGTAACACCGGATGATTTTAGGTTGAGAGGATCTTAACGATATTTTTAGTAAATTTCAAAAATAAATGTTTAAATATATTTTTATTGCTGTAATTTCCCTAAGATACTTTTTATGGTTTTATGCAGGAAATGTTTCCATTACACAAGACATTGTATTGGTTAGAAATCGTCAAATTAAAAAAAGTAAAGTTCCTGTTTAGGCCAGAAACAGTCCTATATGTTTTCCTAACAAGTCCAAGTTTTTCAATATATAATAGTAGTTAGGTTATAAAATCGTTATGAATCTGAACAAAATCACGATAAAGCTAAAGTATTTAAGATATAGCTTTGAAATCATGCAAATACATTGTCACTACGTATAGTATGTTCAGGTATTAAAAATGGGATACATCGGTCAACGTTTTGATATAGCACCCATATAGCGGAATCCGCGAATATTCGGTATTATGGGGACTTTTGACACGTTTTTCGATATCTGCCAATATTTAATGAAAGTTCCCCCATTAATCGGTATTTAAGGGAATTTGGGCACATTTTTGAAACAAATTGGATGTTTTTTTGGGACTTTGGTGTCCTATTGGTTGCCAAATCTCCCTACCAAAATATCGGTCCACATTTTGGTATAATCTCTATATATCGATACCTCCCAATTTTCGGTATTTTGAGGGTATCAGATAGTCATTCGAATTGGTTGTAATTTGTTATTTTGGGATGTCATTGACTACGAAATCTTACTAAAAAAATATTATCAATATTGATCCACTTGTTAGGATAGCCCCCATTAAGGATACCTTCCAAATTTTCGGTATGTTGCAGACATTTTTCAGCCAAAATAAAGGAAAGTACACTTTGATACGCCAAAAAGTGCGTCATTGAGATATTGATTTTAGGCCGTTTCAGACAATTTGGAGTCGATTTACAAATGTCCGTGCATCTGTCTATCCGGTTGGTGCGCACGTCAATTCTCGGAGTAACCGATTTCATGTGATATGACGACAGTCTGGCTGGATAGGGGAAACTCGAGACCCCGTCTATCTCCCCTATGAGGCTCCTGACCCGCCCGGTATTGCCATAGACTGATATTTATCCTGATTCCTACCTCCAGAAGTAAACAGAAGCCTTATAGGAATCCTCGGAAGTCAAACTGGGACAAATTCAAAGCCAAAACAGCAGCCTCAATCCCGGGTCATAAAGATCTCATAACGGGCGAGGATGTATAGCAAGCTGTGAACAATGTCACGGTCACTAAGGCTTCATGTCCTTCAACGTACCCTGGGAAAAGATCTCAGCCGGCTACAAGCATACAATAGAGCTAGTATAGTGAGTCAATCGAAGGAATCAACGAAGCGATCATAGTACTATATAAAGATCCTAAATCTATAGGTAGTATTAAGCGAAGTGACGGAACGTGGACAGACTCTGGTATTGAGACTCTTGATCTTCTATGGTAAACCCACATCCCTGGTTGTAAGGACCATAATGAGGGTGCGCATCAGCATATGTTTCGAACGAGGGAAGAGGAGAAGCTGATAGAAAACACTGTAAGCTACCCTAAACTAGTATGGGCGATAAATAGTTTTCAACCTTGGTATAATACCGTATATACTATAAACTCAAAATCAGTTCTTGATTGCAAGTCCGCTCTGAATGATACACGACAGATAGTTAACATATGTTGGGTTCCAGGACATAGTGACATTTAAGGGAACGAGATAGCCGACGAGCTTGCTCGAGGGGGCTCACAATCGTCCAATCTTCCGACCGAGAGATCTGTGCAACCACCCATTGGCTATTTCATTGGCAAAATCCGCTTGTTCTACGACGAGGTAGTTCAATCTTCCGATTGAGAGATCTGTGCAACCACAGATGTTCTACGACGAGGTAGTCGATAACAGATGGTCGAGAGAACATGGTTGCAGAATCTCTAAAGATATCTGGGGGATTACTCTGTATTGCGTTGCGAAAGCCAGTGCGATGCGAAAGCTAAATGCGTTAAGAGTGCAATTTGGTACTCTGTATCGTTCACGCAAACGCATTCGCAAAATAAATCGAAAATAGGGCAACACTGGCACCACAAAGTAAACAATAACGAAGAATGACAAAAGGAAACGTCAAAAAATTTTAAATGAAAACATATTTTTATGTAGTACGAGTGTTTTTTTTTTAAACAAAAATGATGAACCAACTAAAAAAAAGAATTTTAAGAGATCGATCAAATATACTCTACCTAAGTGAACACGGGTATGAAAATAGAAGTACGAATAATGTGACAAACGTTTTCAAATATTTAATTTTTATAAATTTTTACAAAATGTTCGTCTCAATAAAGATGCGTTTATGTTTTTAATAAACGCTATTAAAAATGACCTCGTCGTTCCAAATAGATCCACAGCACTTCCAACTCCAATAAAAGTGGCCACTGCTTTGAATTTGCTTGGACAAGGTGGTTATTAACACCAACCTGTAAATATGCATTTTTTTCACCAGCAACATCTCTTACAGGAGGTCCATCTGAATTAAGGTCATCATCCAGTTTTCTCTACAAATTTTTGGCGCGTCGTTTCGCATTTGAACTCTGCAACTGGCCCCCTGCCAAATCGCTGTGTTGCACCATAAAATCTACTAAAGTTTGGAACTGACGGTGCTGAGTCGTCAACAGTAACTTTTTTTTGGCTTTCACCCAAAATAATTATTAATTTAGATATAAATAAAAACTTTAATTGTGCTTACTTACATGTTTCGCTTCATTTGCGTTTGCTATTTTGTTAACGCAAGATATTTGCGTTTAACGAACGAGTTTGACATGCGTCTTCGTATTACAGATTGCGGTGATGCCACATTTGCGTAAAGTAGATGCGAAAGGAGATACGAAAACGAATTAGAGAGTACCAATTACGCGATGCCAAGGTAGATATACAAGGTAGCCGCATCGGCGAATTTCTACAACAAACATCGGTTATTGTATTTTGATATGTCAAAAATATTTTGCCAAAACAAACAGATTGGCAAGATTTTTTTACACAAATTCTTGTAGAAAATGTTAATAAAAGTATTGCCAAAAAAGCTCTTCGAAATTCGGAGATTTTCATTCATAATTTTGTTTTTTAATTTTTTGGTTCAACATTACAACAACATTTTTGACATTTATTTGTCCAACAGCTGGGCCGATGCGGCTACCTTATTAAATATACCTTGCGCGATGCGATACAATTTTTCTTACGCATCGCAATACAGAGTAACCCCCCTGGCCTGATTTCTCTCGCCGAAGAACTTCTTCGCTGTTGTCACATAATAAGAGAGAGATCAAAATCATTGTGGGGATCATAACAGGTCACTGCAATATTAGATCTCTCACTTCGAAATGGGACTCCGACGGAGAGGATTACTGTAGTCTATGTGAGAACGAAAGAGAGCTAGAAAACAATAATTTTAGGATGGGATCTGTCCAAGCCTCGGGTACCTCTCCTACAAAGTGTCAACATTTTCAAATTTTATAAATCCAACATTAGACGAATGAAATATCCGATTTGACCAAAACTACCAATCTTAAATTTAGTCCGAAGATCGGACCCATCAGTCCACACATACGGGTACCTCTCCCACAAAGTGTCAACAAATTTAATATTTCATTCAAACTTAAATCAAGTTTGAAGATGATACACATCGGTTCACTAACACAAAATGGTTAACATAACATATCTTTAAAATCCCTACATGAATTTGTTCGTGTAAGGCCATGAGATTTTGAAAGTCTTCTAGCTATAGAAGAGCTTCAAAAGATCTCCTATCTATAGAACTTCAGAAAATCTACTAACTATAGAAGAGCTTTAGAAAGTCTTCTTGCTATAAGAACATCAGAATGGCTTCTAGCTATAGGTCTTCTAGCTATCGAATAGCTTCAAAAGGTCTCCTATCTATAGAAGAACTTAAGAAGGTCATCTAGCTATAGAACACACAATAACAGAGGAGTTGTAGAAAGTTTTGCAGCTATAAAAAGCAACCCGAACATCAACTGGTTTCAAATTCCAAATTTATCCAATAAAACACTCCACTTTCATTTTACAAAGGGTTTTCGTTTTTTATTTGTTTATTGGTAAGAGAGTTTTCGAACATACAATTACAATAAGATCTTTTATAAAGATCACAATTAAAATCGAGTTTTTTTGTTTTGTTTAATAATACGTTGTAATTAATAATAAGATTGATAATTGGTTTTGAATGCCAGAAAATATTTGTTTTAATTGGGCATTTGGTGATCGTTTTCGAACATTAATTAAATACATTTTTAAGAAAGAGAATTAGTAATATTTTATATAAACGATGTGTATATAAGAAGATCGTGTTAAACTCTAATAAATGATTAAACCGAGGCAGTAAGAAAAATAAAAATTATCTGAAAATTAAAAAAATTAATTGGAAAGAATTGAAAAGGAAAGGGTTTTACAGTGATACCGTAGGTTGTTTTTGCAATATAGCTATTGAAGTTCAGTAGTGGTTGGGATATTTCCAAAAATATAGAGGTAAATAAAGGGCGAAAGAGAACAATAATCGCAGTTTTTTTTCTTTTCTTATAAAAAATAACGTTAACACAACGAATATGTTTATTTTATTGGTTTTTAATGCATTCTTGTTAGATCCTCAACAATTTTTATGACATCATCAACATCGGCCTCCTTTTTCTCGCCATTCATTGTTATCTGAAAAAGGGGTTTTAAATAATTATTTAATTATTCATTTACAGATTTTTCCGAATAACTTACCTCCAAACCCTGTACACACTCCTTCATTTTGTCACGACTCAAATCGAGAAAACTTTCAATTAAATCACCATCAATGAAACCCTCACATGGTTCAGTTTTCTGTGGCGTCTGATAGCTGCGATAATACGAATGATCGATTTTACCCACGGACTTGATGACATTTGTCAAACGATCTTCCAAACTATGAAGGAACTCATAAAAGTCTTGTGGTATTTGGGTAACAATACCAATGGCACCCATAACGGTGCCATATAGTACGCACCCCTGATTTGGTGTTGTACGTTCGCCAACATTTTGCATAACCAGGGAGTCGTGGCGGAACACATTTACATAATCACCCAAATGGAAACGACCAACTTCGGGCAGTTCGGAGCGCAATTCATCCGTTGTGGCAGCACTAAAATGAAGATATTGTTTGAGAGAATTTTGATGGATTCATATTGGCTTCAACTTACCTATCCTTTTGCAGGACAAACAAATTGCCATTATCCTCGGAACCCAAGAAAGTATCATCGTCCAATATTTCAATGGCTCTCATAAATTTGGGATCACTGTCACGGGCTATATCTATGAATATGCCCTCCATTTGTTTGTGCTGCAGCAAAGTCATGGAGCGCATAAGATCTCCAATTAAAATGAAATCACCTGGAATAGAGGAAAATAAAGAAATTATGAAATTGTAATGGAGTGGCAACAATTCAGACCTCCAGAACAATTTTCGTATTTATAAAAGTTTCAGAAGGTCTTCTAGATCAATAAGAATTTTAAATATTAGCTAGACTGCCAGTAGGTATTCTATGTATAGAAGAGCTTCAGAAGATCTTCTAAAAATTGAAGAGCTGCAGAAAGTTTTCTAGCTAAAGAATAGCTTCGGAAGGTCTACTAATTAGAGAAGAGCTTCAGAAGGTCTCCTAACTATATAAAAGCTTTAGAATGTCTTCTTACTTTAGACGAGGTTCAGAAAGTCTTCTAACTATAGAATACCTTCAGAAGGTCTTCTAACTATAGAAGAGGTTCAGAAGGCCTTCTAACTATACGGGAGCTTCAGAACGTCTTCTAACTATAGAATAACTCCAGAAGGCCTACTAACAAAACAAATATAACAAAAACTTCAATAGATAGTAAAAAATTTTCTAAATCTTATGCTCCATGTAAATTCGGAGGTTTACCACTTGTATTGTTGACCGCTTTTGCAACTTCATCTCGTAGGTTTGACGGTTGATCAGACAACATATCGGTCTTCATTGATAGGTACTTTAATTTATTAGAAACTACGGGTAAAAAAGTTCGGTCCTTGAAAATACAGTTGGGTCCTTGAAAAAATATATTCTTTAAAAATGCGCGCCATAAAAGTTCGGTCCTTGAAAAAATATATTCTTTAAAAATGTGCGCCATAAAAGTTAGGTCCTTGAAAAGTCGTACTTTAAAAAATCCACGCCTTAAATGGTCCTTGAAAAGTCGTACTTTAAAAAATCCACGCCTTAAATGGTCCTTGAAAAGTCGTACTTTAAAAAATCCACGCCTTAAATGGTCCTTGAAAAGTCGTACTTTAAAAAATCCACGCCTTAAATGGTCCTTGAAAAGTCGTACTTTAAAAAATCCACGCCTTAAATGGTCCTTGAAAAGTCGTACTTTAAAAAATCCACGCCTTAAATGGCTGGCTCTTTGAAAAAATATTCTTTAAAAAATCCACGCCTTAAATGGTCCTTGAAAAGTCGTACTTTAAAAAATCCACGCCTTAAATGGTCCTTGAAAAGTCGTACTTTAAAAAATCCACGCCTTAAATGGTCCTTGAAAAGTCGTACTTTAAAAAATCCACGCCTTAAATGGTCCTTGAAAAGTCGTACTTTAAAAAATCCACGCCTTAAATGGTCCTTGAAAAGTCGTACTTTAAAAAATCCACGCCTTAAATGGTCCTTGAAAAGTCGTACTTTAAAAAATCCACGCCTTGGATGGTCCTTGAAAAATTCTACTTTAAAAAATCCACGCCTTGGATGGTCCCTGAAAAATTCTACTTTAAAAAATCCACGCCTTGGATGGTCCTTGAAAAATTCTACTTTAAAAAATCCACGCCTTGGATGGTCCTTGAAAAATTCTACTTTAAAAAATCCATTAGATCCACGCCTTGGATGGTCCTTGAAAAATTCTACTTTAAAAAATCCACGCCTTGGATGGTCCTTGAAAAATTCTACTTTAAAAAATCCACGCCTTGGATGGTCCTTGAAAAATTCTACTTTAAAAAATCCACGCCTTGGATGGTCCTTGAAAAATTCTACTTTAAAAAATCCACGCCTTGGATGGTCCTTGAAAAATTCTACTTTAAAAAATCCACGCCTTGGATGGTCCTTGAAAAATTCTACTTTAAAAAATCCACGCCTTGGATGGTCCTTGAAAAATTCTACTTTAAAAAATCCACGCCTTGGATGGTCCTTGAAAAATTCTACTTTAAAAAATCCACGCCTTGGATGGTCCTTGAAAAATTCTACTTTAAAAAATCCACGCCTTGGATGGTCCTTGAAAAATTCTACTTTAAAAAATCCACGCCTTGGATGGTCCTTGAAAAATTCTACTTTAAAAAATCCACGCCTTGGGTGGTCCTAGAAAAATTCTACTTTAAAAAATCCACGCCTTGGATGGTCCTTGAAAAATTCTACTTTAAAAAATCCACGCCTTGGATGGTCCTTGAAAAATTCTACTTTAAAAAATCCACGCCTTGGATGGTCCTTGAAAAATTCTACTTTAAAAAATCCACGCCTTGGATGGTCCTTGAAAAATTCTACTTTAAAAAATCCACGCCTTGGATGGTCCTTGAAAAATTCTACTTTAAAAAATCCACGCCTTGGATGGTCCTTGAAAAATTCTACTTTAAAAAATCCACGCCTTGGATGGTCCTTGAAAAATTCTACTTTAAAAAATCCACGCCTTGGATGGTCCTTGAAAAATTCTACTTTAAAAAATCCACGCCTTGGATGGTCCTTGAAAAATTCTACTTTAAAAAATCCACGCCTTGGATGGTCCTTGAAAAATTCTACTTTAAAAAATCCACGCCTTGGATGGTCCTTGAAAAATTCTACTTTAAAAAATCCACGCCTTGGATGGTCCTTGAAAAATTCTACTTTAAAAAATCCACGCCTTGGATGGTCCTTGAAAAATTCTACTTTAAAAAATCCACGCCTTGGATGGTCCTTGAAAAATTCTACTTTAAAAAATCCACGCCTTGGATGGTCCTTGAAAAATTCTACTTTAAAAAATCCACGCCTTGGATGGTCCTTGAAAAATTCTACTTTAAAAAATCCACGCCTTGGATGGTCCTTGAAAAATTCTACTTTAAAAAATCCACGCCTTGGATGGTCCTTGAAAAATTCTACTTAAAAAAAATCCACGCCTTGGATGGTCCTTGAAAAATTCTACTTTAAAAAATCCACGCCTTGGATGGTCCTTGAAAAATTCTACTTTAAAAAATCCACGCCTTGGATGGTCCTTGAAAAATTCTACTTTAAAAAATCCACGCCTTGGATGGTCCTTGAAAAATTCTACTTTAAAAAATCCACGCCTTGGATGGTCCTTGAAAAATTCTACTTTAAAAAATCCACGCCTTGGATGGTCCTTGAAAAATTCTACTTTAAAAATCCACGCCTTGGATGGTCCTTGAAAAATTCTACTTTAAAAAATCCACGCCTTGGATGGTCCTTGAAAAATTCGACTTTAAAAAATCCACGACTTAAATGGTCCTTGAAAAGTCCTACTTTAAAAAATCCACGACTTAAATGGTCCTTGAAAAGTCCTACTTTAAAAAATCCACGCCTTAAATGGTCCTTGAAAAGTCCTACTTTAAATGGTCCTTGAAAAATTCTACTTTACAAAATCCACGCCTAAAATGGTCCTTGAAAAATTCTACTTTAAAAAATCCACGCCTACAATGGTCCTTGAAAAATTCTACTTTAAAAAATCCACGCCTTAAATGGTCCTTGAAAAATTCTACCTTAAAAAATCCAAGCCTAAAATGGTTCTTGAAAAATTCTACTTTAAAAAATCCACGCCTAAAATGGTCTTTGAAAAAATATTCTTTAAAAAATTCACGCCAAATACAATCCATGACTGTAATGGCCCTTAGGAATTATTTTAAAATATGCACATTTAAGGCGTGCATATTTTATTTTTGCGCTTAAAAAATATTCTTTACACTTAACCCTATTCTATCAATGTCAACAAATTCTCATCCTGAATCTCTAGATGGTTGTTTATTTTGTAGATGACCTCTAGACATCTGTGAAATCTGTAGAACCCTTTTTTATCTATTCCATCCACTTCGAAATCTTATCCAAAAACGTGTATCCTCTTACCTTTGGCCTTCAAACATAACACCGTTATATTCTTTTGTATATTACACTCCATACGCAATTCCTTCTCGTTAGTCCATTCGTAGAGGCGAACAAAGCTATTGATACCAGCCAAAACTTTGCCATTAAATTCCACCATCGAATAACAGCCACCATCAATTTTCGTTTCAGCCACTTGCGTCAACTTGCCATCATGATAATGGAATATGATGATACGACCAACACTGGGTTCCGGTTCATCGGCATATAACAATGCCGTAGAGACGACATAATACGAATTTGGATCATCACCCAACTGGGCGGACATAATGGACATAATCGATTCGGACGGCATAAATTGATGAGCATGTAAAACTTCAAAGGTGTTCTGATCGATAATCAACAGATTACTGATGTCCAATTCTTGACCAATTTCGGCATTTGTAGTTGAGGTACTGCCCGCACCGGGTTTGGGTACAATATTCGAGGCGTATGTGATATTTTGTGCCTGTGTCGATGCACTGGCCTTTGTTGGCTTAGGGCCACCTCTACCCTGGACATCGATACGCATTGTGGCCACGGCAAATGTCTGTGAACTTTCCTGATAGGCAATACGTCGTGGGCCCTCACCCAATGGTACCGTGCGAATATGCAGCTTTTGAATTTCATCAATTGTTCCAATTATTACCGAATTCTTGGTGGCCAAAGCCAAACTATCTGGATAAGCTTGAGCATTCAGGGAACACATATGATTCACTTCTTTGAGATTGACATTTGAAAAGACCAACTTATGATTCGACGAATAGATCACAGTGGGACGATCCGAACAAGCAAATACATTTGTGGTGGCGAAAGATTTAAATGTTCTCAATGTTGTGGGCTGGGTGCCGAGTGTAACTCGCTTCTTGTCGCTCAAACTGCCACGTTTATCGTTCATTATAAAATAGAACATGGAACCATCACCCAAGGCGCAAAGTAAATAATGTATTCCCTCAAATGTTGTCATCAAAATCGAACGTGGTATAATTTCGCCGCCCAATTTCTCGGTGTGACACACCTCCAAATCCGGTAGGGTTAACACCACGGCTGATATATCTGTCCAGAGGCCAACAGCCAATAGATTTGCACGCGTATTACCCTCACCCAAAGGTGTTATATCCAAACAAGCCACTTCATATTCCAATGTTTTTTGGGCCCGCTGTACCAATTTTTCATCTTCAATTTCCAAATAGTAGACATCTCGTGCCGAGGCAATAACAATTTGTTGGGTGTTACAACTAACAACACCAATACGTTTGCCTGCCGGTGGTTCCCATTCATAGACTAAATTTTTGGTGGTACTTTTAATAAGGCGTACAGTCAAGGGGGTTACTTGAATGATCTGGAAATGTTTTTTACAATAAACAAATCTTTTGAATTAGGAAATTTTCAACTAACTTACCTGATCATGATCAACATTGGCACAATGGAACGTCTGCTGATCGCTGAGGAAACCGGCAATATCTGTCTCCTCCACCTCTTCACCGGTCAATGTTAGAATACGTGTATGTCCCACAAATGCCAATACCAATGTATTTTCATAGTTACTATCATCAATGCCGACTTTCAAAGACCACATGCCCTTGATGCCCGGCAAATCAATGCAAGCATGTTCCTGGATGCCAATGCCGATTCTAAATGATAAAAAAATAATTAAATGGTGTATAAATAAAATGGTTATTTACCTTATAATCCTCAGTGAACCATCTTGGAAGGTACCCGAACATGTTATAATTTGTCCTTGACCCTGACGATCTAAATCGACAACAGCCAAATCTAAGATCGGTGCCAAATTTGTGAAATTCTCCATTGGTATAACATAGGAGCCATTTTCATTGGGTGTGGTACTCAATCGGACAAGTTGTGAATCACCATGTTTGGAGCCGATAAAAAGGAACCCATTATCCAAATATGTAATACATTCAGGGGTAGATATTTCACCTGAAATTGTAAAGGTAAGAAAAGATTTATTAAAAAAATCACGCATTTAATGGTCTTTGAAAAATTGCATTTTAAAAATCCACGCCTTCACTGGTCCTTGAAAAATTTTAAAGATCTACGCCTTTACTGGACCCTGAAAATTTTTATTTAAAAAAATCCACAGCTTTACTAATCCCCGAAAAATATAATTTTAAAGATCTACGCATTTACTGGACCCTGAAAATTTTTATTCAAAATAAATGCACAGCTTTACTAATCCCTGAAAAAATATTATTTTTAAAATCCTCGCCTTTACTGGTCCCTGAAAATTGTTATTTTAAAAATCCAAGCCTACTCTGGATTGGTTTTCTAATATTATCAATATTTAAGGATGGTGTTTATTTGTATTACCTAATAATTCCACTTTAATTTCCCTTACAGATGAACACCCTTTGCCATTATCGGCCGTCTCCAAAAACAACATAAACAATTGTCCATACATATTGCCCAGTAAATAACGTTGTCCTTTACTATCCACACGAGCATAACAATTGATGGTACTTTGCTAAAAATAGAAAAATAAAATCATTTCATACTTTGTATTAGTAAATTTTGAAAATAAAAAATAATAGTACCTTAAATGTTGATGGAGCAACAGCAAGATAACTATTTCCATCATGATAAACAATCGATTCACGTCCAATAACAATAGCTCCACCTGAAAAGTTATAACATTTTTATTTGAATTTTTAAAATGGTTTGATTTGTTTTTAAAATTATTTACCCAATGGTGTAGGTACTGGTATTAACATGGTAGCCTCTGTCTCCACATTATCTTGCTTCCATGCGATTTTCATAAATTCCTTGTCCCGCAAGTTAATTTCATGTGTCTTAACATGACGACCATCATTATCTTTGTGTATGACAATTATTGTGGGATTAATGCAGCCATAAAGAAACTCCACATCGTAGACATTCAGTTCATCCATTCTGGAAAACAAGAAAGTAGAAAAAAATTTAAAAAAAATGTGTGGTCAGGAAATTTCTCCCATGAACATGAAAAACGCGACCTCCTTCGAAAAAGTGAAATTTTGTGAGAAAGCGATACCACAGGATCGAGACCGACATCTAAATACCATAGAACATTTTTAAAACAAAGTCAAAACGACGTTACTATCGAACTTTTTCTACCCTCCACCAAATTACAGCCACATATGATGGAAGTATATTGCTGCTATGTGGTGTCTCTGGTCTACATAGCGAAATGCCTGATATGGACCTACATCCACATTTTTCTGCAAGGTTCTACCAATTTGGAACATGTATGCAGTACCTTTAAAGTTCCTATAATTACGCTGGCCATTTTCTGCCATCGTGTATTTTTACTTCGAGATCCCGATGTTCAAGTTTTGCATTTACGATTGGAAAATTCCAGAAAATTTTTATTTGGAACACATTGAGAACCCGATATGCCAAATTTAAACCACTTGAGGACTAAGATATTTAAAAAACACTTGAAGTGGCCATCTTCGGGAACCTGCTTTCACTGTATACTTTCTTGCCATTTAATCAGTGAAATCGACGCCAAATTTAGTTTTAGTATAAAACGATGCAACCCAGAGAAATACTTGTACAAATGTTATCAGTTGTAACAGTTCTACGCTTCATGGTATACGGTTCAAGAAGTTTCATAACGACAAATTCGCTTAGGGGGTTGATGCATTTCGAGTCTCGTTTTTCCTAAATACGGATAGCCATTTACTACATATTTCGTCTCTACATCAGATGTCAACCAAAATGTTATCCCAAATGTATGCATTTTGTTTGGCATATACTGAGTAAACCTACATCTGGCCTTCGATGGAAAAAGCTGCAAATTCACAAAGTGCTGAGACTAAAACGAAATTGTCTGTTTGCAACATTTGACTCCTCTGATTTCTTTTGTCGAAACGAATGTATCGCAGAATCTCAGTAAGGTCCTGTCCACTCATAGTACTGAAGAAAAATTATGGTGTCCACTAGTTGTTCCACAAATATTGAAGCTTCGAAGTATTTCCGTACGTCTAACGTGCGTACAGTACTGCAAGAAAGGCCTTCAATTTTCCTTGCGCAATAGCTAATTTTTTCCCAAAACTCGAGTGCCTTCTAACTCTGTACAATTTGTATATGTTTCAAAATATGGTTGTCAATCAGTAATAGGAACGCACTACTTAGATTCCCGTTCATAATGTTTCTTTCCCGGGTACATCTTTGAAAGCACTATGAACTGGTAGTTTACCGGTAACATCTTCTTCAATTCTCGTCCAAATAGTTCCGTCTGAAGCAATTTCAGTTTCCTGATTTGGTACGGTGCTTCCACCTTCGTTTTCTGGACTTCTACACTCCAACCCTGTCCATATTTATATTTTTTACCCATAATTATTTCTAGAAAATAAGTAGACCATCCTTCCTTTTCCAAATATATCCTAATTTAACATTTTGATGTCCTTTTTTAGTTCTCCAACACATCCGATCTTTTTTACATCATTTCCATGTTATTTCATAATAATTTTTAAAAGTTTTCACACTCACCTTAAATTTGTTGCCTTCAGCTCACTGGTTTCCTTGTCCAAGGGTATAATGGTAAACAGACCCATATACAAACACATACCAATAACACGTGCTTTAGGATCGATGACCGCCATTACTCCACCATCGGTGGGTAGACTATATTGATGGGCGACATTGCCATGTGCTTTGGTCACCACACTAATTTGATCGCCGATCATGCGGCATTCCAATATCATTACATTGTAACGATGTGTGAGAATGAATAATAAATCCTTTTTGCTGTCCTAGAAAAACAAAAAACCATCACAATTACATATAAAATTGCAAAAAAGCATGAAATTTACCTGAGGACGAAAATGTTTCATCACCGTAATTTGCCCATAGATATTCACTTCCTTGAGGGGTCTCAAACCTTCCGGTGTAACCAAATCAATTTCCAATTGGCTATTTCGGGCAATAATCAAGTTCAAGTCTGTGGGCGATGTAAAATTGCCTGGGAAACAACAACAAACATTTATTACTCCTCCCTTTTAAACATATTTTTTAGATTATCGGCCATTAAATAGCGGCATGTTTGCAAAATGCAATGAATTGTGAGTGCAAAGATGCTACTATTCTGTTCCAAACTATTGTACTCACCGGTAACACAGGCAACAACGGCGGTTGGCTTTTGTGCCGTGACCACATAATGATATTGAGACATATTTTGCACCGATGGATCAACTAATTTCGTATTGTGATAAACCCGCTCCGTTCGTCTGCTATTTTGTGCAAATTATCTGCAAAATACTTATTTTGGTACGGCACTTTTTCTGCGCGGCTCGCTGTAAAAATATTTTACCAATTAGGTTTTGTGGTGTTGCCCAATTGTTTTTTTACGCCTTCGTTGTATGGTGATAAGAGTTGCCAAGACACAAAGAAAGCTTTTCAGTGTATACATTAGGGCTTTTGGCAATACATCAAGTTTTTATTTTATGGTAAGGTAACAACAATTATACGAGGTACGATGTAGAAGTACAACAAATACAGGGTTAACCACTTCGTGATTTCAAAAATAAATGTAAAAAAGACACATATATAAAATATTTTTATGACATAACAGAGTGAATTGATAAATTTTCATCTGTCGGTGTGTCTGTCTGGCTGGTGTGCACGATAACTCTCGAAAAGAGTAACCGATTTCATCCAAACTTTGCATATCGTAATATTTTTCCAAGTTTCAATGATGGGGAACATCGGATGTGAAAATGGTCAAAATTTTGCTGAAAATAAATTTTATAATATGTGAACTGACTATCCGATTTGAATAAAACCGATGAATATTTCAACGATGACTGTATAATTTTTAAAGATGGGACTTATCGGGACTTATATTTTGAACCTCAGCATTCTGTGTCCCGTGCACAAAAAAGGAAACAAGACTATATGTGCCAACTACAGAGGCCGCACCAGATCCTGGAAGAAAAAGCCCATGAAAAACACATTGACATAGTCCACCTATTCGTCGACTATAAAACCGCATTCGACAGCCCTATCCGTTCAGAGATTTTTAAAGTCAAGACTGCGTTCGGCATTCCTGCAAAATTAATACAACTATGCAGGATAACTTTAACTGGCACAAAGTCAATACCGAACGAGGATTCAGACAAGGTGATCGTGCGACCTGTTTAATATCCTGCTGGAAAAGATCATACGAGATGCAAATGTGAACAAAATGACGCTCTGTCCACCAAATAGCATACGTTACTCGCCTACACCGACGACATCGACATAATGGGTCGAACATTGCGAACGGTAACAGCCACCTTTGAACGAAATAAGTCTGCCAAAGTGGAACTGGTAGTAAATTCCGAGAAGACCAAGCTGATGTTATGATCGCGCAAGACGTCCAGTAGACTCGGAACAACTATTGAACTCGAAAACTACAGCTTGGAGTTGGGACAAATATTTTATATTTCAGAACCGCCATAAACAAAACTAATAAAATCAGCTTTAAAGTCCGGAGGAGAATAGTTTTGGTCAACAGATGCTACTTTGATCTGAATAAGAAACTCAAAAGCAAGGCCACACACACTCTATAAGACGCTGAAATTACCTGTGCTGTTGTATGGATCTGAAGCATGGGTACTTGCGCAAGCAGATGAGACAGCTCTTGGAGTGCTTGAGAGAATAATTTTCCGGAAGATCTATGGGCTGATCTGCGTCGATAGTGAATATTATCGTCGAATGAACCTATCATCGCGGACATCGACATAATCAGACGGATTGAGCTGCAGCGACTACGTTCGCTAGGTAATGTTGTGAGAATGGATGAGGATTCCTCCACTCAAAAGGCATATAAAAGCGAGCCAAGTGATGGTTCACGTAGGAGGGGAAAGCCACGAATCCGATGAAAAGATCAAGTAGAAGACACCATCTCGGATCATGGTATTTTAAATTGGATGAGATACGCACAAGACCGACGCACTGGGAAGTCCTTTTGAAACTCGGCTTATGGAACAACTGTTATGTCACCCTGTTGCCTACGTCATATTACACGAATCACCATTGCATGTGCAATACTGCACGGTGATCATATGTGCTGCTGACGTGTCAGGATTTGATTGGTTGATGCATTTTTGCAAATTAGCGATCCCTAACCGGCCTGGAAATTACTATCGCTTCATTCTCGAGAGTAGCGGCCGGCGAGTTAAGACTGAATACGTAAACGAAAAGAGGAAAGGAGAAACAGAAAGAAAAATAAAGAAATTTTACCGGTGTTAGAGTGTTGTGTGAAAATAATAAAAAAAAAAACACTAATAAAGAGTGAAGAATATACATTCAAATGGATGCACTCTAAAAATAAAAAAGTGTGTGTTTTCGTGAATTAATATTGAAATTGTTCAATATTTTTCTTAACTGGTTGGGTTAATTTGTGCAAACCCAACAACAGTGAAAAGCCGCCACCGAGGCGCTGGGACTGTACCAGTGAATTACACGTGATGGTGCACGCGCAGTTGGGTAACGGTACAGTGAGTTTTTTTACTATACAACAAGTTTTGTTCGGGTATCAGTAAACCCACAAACATTCAATAGACAAAAATAGTGCCGCCAAAATTCATTAACCCAGTTCAGACTTAACCAACTCAAAATTCATCAGCCCACCAACTTTTTACAAAAACCCAGTGCCATCAAAATCAAATAACCCAATTCATACCGAACAATCTCATATACCAGTACACACCAACATCCCATAGACAAGCTAGTGCAATCAAAATATAATAATCCCGGTTCAGACCTAAACATTTCGCAAAACAGTTCACACATCAACCTTCCATCAAAGAAATTTTGCACCACCATCAAATAAACCAGCCGTACCTCAGTTATCCCATAGCCCAGTACATACACAGCATTACATAGACAAATTCATACATCATCATCAATAGCCTGAAATTCAACCCACATCAACTGCCGTTATTAATTCAACTACCGTTAGCCCACATTTCGTCTCCTCAACATACCACCCTCAGCCGCGCAGCCTTCTGTTGTTGGATCCATTGCAATTGTAAGTAAATCCGTAGAAGACCTAACAGGAATCGAATTTATTGTAGACCGGATACTAGAAAGATGTCCTGAATTCTGATTGTCAGCAGTGTCCTCCTACCTTTACTATTAATTAATCATAATTTATATAGACGTTATTATACATACATTATTATACATTATTCGTTTATACATGCAATATTTTACAGTTTTATTTCATTTTTTTTATATAATCATTGTTAACTACGCCTCGGCGATCTCCCCATTTCAAAATTAACCATATTCTGATATATATATATATTTTTTTTATGAATACGGTCGTAGCGACGAACTCCTACATCACATCGAGCTCGATAGGTAAAGGAAATTTATTTCATTCTGAATTTTAAACCATTTTAACCCAAATATCTGGGGAAATCACCTGAGAGTATGTTCTAAATTCAGTCCTGGTATATTTCTTTAGTTTCCTGAAGCATATTTGTAAATCGTTCATTTATATTACATCATCCTAAGGTTTAAGAAAAACTTAATCTTGAATATCATTGAATCCAATTGTTATTAGATGTAACTACTTTAAGCTTATATGGTATAACCTTTGAATAAACAATAAAAATGTTATCGAATTATGAATTTAAATGAAAGGTTTGAACTATGAATTAATTGGTGAATAAAGAAAGGTAATGTAAAGGTAATTGGGCAGCCGTAATATAAGTAATGGGGGTCCTCATGATTCAGAGGCCCATTAAGGGGGTTCAAGGTAGGAACCCATAGGGAGGGCAAAGGGTACCCAAACTCCACCTAGGGGTACCAGCAACAACAACAATCAAAAACAATACAACAACATGTTTTAATGGTTTTCTTGTAAAATGATATAATGTTATTTTTGTATGTGCTCAAGTGTACCTCCTCGCCGCTAGAGTTTTAGCCGGAGCCATCTTAGCAAAATACCATCAACACCTTGGTAATGAATAGAGGTCATACTTGCCAGCCATATTACAAAATGGCGCCCAACGTAAAGGCAAATTTTAGGTTTTGGATCTAATGTGTCCATACCTGAAATTTTGCAATCATTTTGTTTTTTTTTAATCTGATTTTGATTATGAGTCTTGAGGTGTTGTTAAATTACAACACTCAAATGCAGTAAATTAATTCAGATGATCTACATCTCCAAACTCCATCTCGTTGAGAAATATTTTAGTCGTCTTGAAAAGTAGTTTTTATGACATTTTCAATTTGTGACCAAAATATTATTATGAATTCATAACATTTTTATATTGGCAGTTGGTAATATATAGTCATTCACCGTCGATAAATTTATGATTGAGGTGTTATTAGCGATATTACCCAACGGCTTAATTAATATTATATCATTTTCGCAATTCCTTTTGGAAAAATTTTCCGGATGTTGGAATTCTGGATGTTCTTTTGTTGTTGTTTATTTATTTTTACGGCTGACCCAAACCTTTTTACATTCGCCGATTATTGAATGAATATAGTATAACATTATAGATCTTTCGGAAAATAGTTCCTGAAGTGAGAAGACTTTAGAATAGCAATTATATATATAATGTTGATGTTTTTTTTTTAATTTTTGATACTCTTTTGGAAAACTGACCTATAGAAACATTAATTCCAGTTTTGAGTTCTAGTTTGAGATTTTGTTGAATTGACTTTCGATTTTAATATGGATCCTGCAACGGGAGCATCGAAGAAAACCCGAGGTCCCATCACCCGTTCGAACAGTAAAGCTAGTGATGATGTTCAGGTTGATAATGTCCATACTTCTGATACTGATGATGAGGGTCAGGCCACAGCAATAGGAGGTGCTGAGGAAGCAAGTACTGTAACTCAGCCGTCATTTAGCCCGTTGACACAATTAGGTGGTAGCCTTCAAGAGTCTCGGAAATTGAGTAGTACAGGAGTAGTTGAAGCTTCGATGATAGAATTGTTTCGTAGTGAAATGAAAAATGCAGTAGCAGAGGCAGTCCAAGAGGCGCTGTCACAAACACCGAGTCCTACCGGTAATTCGAAAAGTACTTCACAAGATATCCCATGGCCACACGATTTACCACCACTTAACCCAGAGTCAGATAGAAGACAGGAAGTGCATGCTTTTCAGCCTCAGGATAGACCAACACAAGATTACAACTCTTATAAACCCAAATACCCATATCTTAGTAA